TTTATGCTTGCAATGTTAGGCCGTTGTTTCATGAAATAATTTACCTTTTTTTTTTTTTTTTTTTTTTTTTTTTAATCCCTCGACATTTTACTTGTTTTAAAGTACAAATCGGTGACTTTTTTTTCCATCAAAGAAACATGATTTTACTCTGATTTGGACATCTTGTAAAGTAAGACAACAACAAAAAAATCATCTGTGCTAATGCAGTCAGAATTTTGACTTGATGAATTCAATTGATTTGAGTTTTGGTGGCGGTGCTTTGGAACGGTGTCCGACTGCGCTGCACCAAAAGATACCACTAAACCGTGTCTACTTTTGCGCGATCTTGATGGATCTCTTGTTTTTGTTTGATTCTCTTGGACCGATGCCCCGTCTGTGTCTTGTGACTGAAAACTCTGGCTTTTCATTTCCCATTTTGTAAAGCGGTGTTTCGTACATCTGCCTGCGGGTTCTGAGATTCTGGGTTTGAATCCTGTTTGGGGTCTTGACATTGTCCCCGTGGCTTTTGTGAGTTTGGTGCAGAAACACGTCATTGAACTCTCAATGCGATTGTGAACAGTCCAGGGGGAGTACACAGTGCAACGGTGACCCGACTGAGAACAAGTGAGAATAGTTTGAAATGATCATTTTTGCCACTTCGGTCCAAATGACAAGTACTGCTGCACTCTTTGTACTGTTGGATAATGTCGGGGGTGGGAGTGGGGGTGGGGGTGGGGGGGGGGTGTTCCCACCTTTTCAAGACAAATCTGTGCGAGAACTCAGTTGACTTGCAATTTGTCATTTCTTGGAAAGAGCCACAGTGCTCCCTGCTGGTGAATGAGAAAGCAGCAACGGGAGTCAGAGGTGGCTGCACACACAGATTGAAACTTGAGGTGGTTTGTGTTTAGTGTGTGTGTGTTTGGGTCCAAACCTCACGCGCGGTTTCGGGAGCTCCCCACTTTGGCCGGCGTAACCGCTTCCTTCCGAGGTTCTCTTCTGAATCGCGGACAAGAGACGCAAGGGTGAGCGTGAGAGCCGGCCGGAGAGGAACCTGCATGGCCAGTGGGCATCTCCGATAAGAGACAATCTGACTTTTCAGAAGCTATCATGATCAAGATCCTCCCACCGAGCTTGTTTGTCTGTGGGGGACACGGATGACGCCGGGTAAAGGAGGAGGATATTCCGAGCGGTAATTAATAGTCTTAAGTGACGGCTGCTGCCTGGCCAGGAGGCAGTCGGTGGATTTGTGGTGACGGTGAGCCGGTACCGCGTCCCCCAGCGTGTCCCGCGGCCTCCTGGCTTGGCATGGAAGCGCGCAAGGAGGAAATTGAGAAAGTGCCTTTGATCGCTCTTTTGTTTGTCTCTGGGGCCTCTTCGTGATCCGCCGCTCAAACGCCTTCGCGCGCACGGCGTCTCTTCCCATGTTAATCTCCTTTCCCAAACGTTAAGGGGAAAGACGTGAAATGCCACAAAAATGGCATCACTCCACCGCTGTCACTGGCTCATCCGCCCCCCACCCCTCGTGAACACTCATTTGCACGTGAGTATGTCTGACGATGGGAGGGGGTTGAGGAGGTTGCTCTTGTAGCCTTTGGGGGCCTGTTTCTGCGTCGTGGAGAAACCCCAACTGGCCACGACCTTTCCAGTATTCGCGGGCTCTTCCTCTATACGAGAGGCAAGCGCGAGTGACCAACAGCCCTCTAATCTCGCAGAATAGATCCGGCTCTGCACTTTACAGCAGCCGAATCTCCACTTTCAGAATCCCCCAAAAAAAGAAACAAAATCGGGTGAGCATTTTCCTAACAGTTTCTTGAGGATCATTCATGGGATCTCTTCAACAATCAGCCACCCAGCACAAAGTGGAAGAAACTATTTCAAAATGGGGTTATCTTTATTCCCGGCAGTATTTTGAAGATTAGCGGTGTTATTCTTTTCATCCGAGATTTGTATCTTCGAATATGGAGAACAGTTCCACAGTATACAAGCTCGCGGGGTTGTGACCTCGCGCCAGTACGATTGTACAATTTTCTCAACCCAGACCGCCGGTGCTCATGCCAAACTGCCCCCTGTCCGATCGATCGCATCTCAACGCCGGCGATCGGTCAAAGATGTTTCCCGGGTCATGAAAGGCAACGGGGAAGGCACGGCGGCGCCGTGGCCGTGTGTCAACGACGATGACGAATGAGCGTTCACGGCATATTGTGGGCTCCGGCCTGCGGAAAAGGAGAACAGACCTCGTAGTAGGACTGAGGGCTGCGTTTATGGCTATGCCCGCCCTGGGAAGCCCCTCGGCGTTCTGGTTGACCCTTGCTGTAGATTTTCCGACTAATGTGACCCCCGTTTTGTGTATCGCCGTCGTCAGAATTCCCACAGGCTACAGTTAGTCGCGGGCACTGGGGATCGTTGTCCTCAGTGCGCCTGAGCACAGACAGGATGTGGCAGCTCGGAGGCATTTCGTTAAAGGAGATGCACGTGAACGCCGCAGGCGTTCACTTATGCAAGGCCTGGCAGAGTAAAAGTGTGCAACGCGGCCAATAAATAAAACACAAAAATGGGACTGTTGGGAAGACGAACAGCGTGCGGCGAATTAGCCGTGCCTTGTTGTATGCCATCTAATCATTTATGATCGTCCCTGTGCTTATTTCTACAATTAAGCTGTTGACCGGGATAGTCTTTCTCAACAAATTGGATTGCACAATCTCATCTGTTCATTTATATGAAGTGTATGGAGTGGAAGAACCCCCCCACCTCGCCCACCCTAATATCTACATGAAAATGAAGAGACATTCAAACTACCGTAGTAGTCACTTTTTCGAGCGTTTATTTTTGCATTGCTATTCACAAAAGCGTGATTGCCCGCGTCAGAGTTCTGAGGTTCGGTTCTGTGTTCAAATCTCAGCTCGGCCCTATTTGTTTGGAGTTTGCATGTTCTCCCGGTTGCTTGGGTTTCCTTCCCCTGTGCGCTCTGGCTTCGTCCCACATTTCAAAAGCATTCACGTGAGGTTCATCCAAGACTATGTTAGCAACGTGGATCGAGTCAAGATGAAAACAACGCTTGTCACCTCTGTTTTTCTGTCACTGGCACGTATGCGCCCACACGCCCACCTGGACACTACGCGGTTAATAAGGCCACTCTTGACTGACAGGTGACATTTCATTATGGGGACATCATAGCGGCCCAGCGCAAATTTAGCCAGACGCGACACGCGCCGGGTCACACAGCAGCCGCAGACAGACAGAGCAAGTCAACTTCGCTGCAGGACTCAAGCATGAAACTCCGGACCCTCGTCACTGTCATCTTTGATTCCTTTTGAGCGCAAATCCTTGCCGAGAACTTCCATGAAAACAGGCGCTCGAGTGTAGTCTGAACTCATTTTTGATCTGGTCGCCAGAGTCTCCTTTTCAGTATTGAGTTATACCGATAAAGTGAGTTTGTGATCACTGGTCAGAATGCAAAAATGTGAAACTAGCTGTCAGCTCGGCAACAACAACAATAACAACAACAGCCAAGCCAGGGTTCAAAGCCACATTCGCAGATTGGAAGGCAAGTATGCTAACCATTTATCCAAACTGCCACCTTCCCAACACACTGACCAGTCAACGCTTTCCTCCAGTATGACATCCACTGGTGAGCCTCGCCAAAGTGCGGAGTAGAATGCACACAGATAACTATTTTCAAATGTAGAGCGTTCAAGTAAAATGTTGTCCCCCAAAAATAGCCCTACTATGAAATACTCTGAATTTGTTATTGTGTCTATTTCACATGAAAAAGTCAGACAGTCATCTTTAGAGAAAAACAATTGTAGAGATAGATTTAAGTCATCAACATATTTGACAATAAAGAGGATTGGATTTTGTGTGTGTGTGTGTGTGTGTGTGTGTGTGTGTGTAGTATTTTTATAAAACATCTATTGTATTTCAATGGCCGTCAGTTATAGGTGGTTTTTGTGCCCGTATTTCTTGCATTTGCGTTCATTGTAATCTCTTATGTTGCTTTCAACAAAGCGTATGAGGAAAAAATGGTTCAGATTGCACGACTGTGCGTGTTTTTATGTTATGTGTTGTGTTTGTTATTTAATTTTATGTTCACTGTTTTGTACGGCGCTTTGTTACAGCTGCACCTGTTGTGAAAGCGCTCGATAAATCAGGATGTATTGTATTGTATGTTCATCCTCAATTTGGGGCACGTTTTGTTGGTATGTTTAAGAATATGACTGTACAATGCATGTTTCCAAGGGCTTTTTGAACAGGATATTGTCTGTCATGTTATGAACTCACATAAAAGTGGTTTACGATTGACAAAGGAAAATGTGGGTCACGTGGCACCGGGTCTGTCTGTCTCTCGCCGACGCAATATGACGAGGGTTCGGTCCTGGTGTGCAATTGGTCAAATCAGCAAGCACTCAAAGGTTGGAAGGCGGGCTTGCGCAGCAAACAGCCAATCGGGTGGTAGGCAGATGACGTCCACCATCGTGAAGAACCATGGCGTTACGGGAGCTAGCATCGCTCGAGAAATATTTAGGACTGAAAAAGCCCAACAAGTACAGTAGCCGAGGCGACAAAAAGGTGACCAAACCTTGCATAGGTATGGCGTTTAAAAGCGCCCCTTTTTTTGAGAGGTAACATTTTATACGCCGCGGAAAGGAAGGTGATGCTATTCAGCTAGCCGCGTGTTTGGCCAATCCGCTGTTGTGCTTGGAGTTACGTCAGCCTCAATTGAACATCATTTCACAGTTGGTATATGACATTTGAAATTCATTTGACATGAAAATATACTCTATGCACTGAGCCGGGCGTTCCTATACAGAGCACAATACAAAGCGTACATGCTTGTCCATATGGTGGGCTGTTACTGTGAACCAGCTTGGTAAGAACCCTGTATTAGGTGTAATCACTCCAAATTCTAGCCTGATGGCGGAGGATTAAAAAAACAGCAGCAGCATATTGTAGGATGGTTAAAAGCAGAAACGAGGAGAATTTGATTTGGAACATTTAAATTTTTGACCTTGATCTTCTTTCAGATCCCTGTGCTGCAGAATAACAATGGTCCTCCCCTGGTGGGCCTGGTGACCATCGCCCGCCACCTGGTGAAAGAAGCAAAGCAACCCGAGCTGCTGGGGGAAGCCGCGGAGGACAGAGCAGTGGTGCATCAGTGGCTTGAATACAGAGTGAGCAAGCTGGATGGCTGCAACAAGGAAGAAAGCAGAACTATACTCAAGGCAGGTGCTCCGAAAGTGCAAAACTGAAGAATTGTCCTTTTGCATTGGCTCCTAAGTCCCTTTTTAGTGTGGCGACTTAACTCTTAATTTGGATGTAAATCGGATAGCTTTAGTCCAGGGGTGTCCAAACATTTTCCCTTGAGGGCCGCATACAGAAAAATAGAGGGATGAAAGGGACGCTTTCAAATTTGTCAACTTTTTGAAACACGCCAAAGGCAGTCACGAAAGCAATTCTCGATTGTTTGTCTTATCAGCTCTCTGTTCAAGGTGTGAAGGCAAATAGATGAGGAGTTTCCCAAATTTTTGGGCCGGCCAACAGCCGTCTAGCTCACCGAGGAGATCTGGCTCTGGACTAAACAGCAGCCGAACCTCCCCATTCAGAACCAAAAAAACTGTAGTTTGGTGAGCATTTTTCAAACAGTTACTTGATGATCATTGATGTGACGTCTTCATCAATCCGCCATAGAGCACAATGTGGAAGTAACGATTTTTGCCTCAAAAATGGAATCCTCTTTATTCACTACAGTGGTTTCAAGATAAATTGTGTTTTCCTTTTTGTCATTTAATTTTATCTTCGAATGTCGAGAAAAGTTCTACGGTACACCCTCCTTTCTCACACTTTTTAACCAGTATGATCTATGTATTTAGTTTTGAAAATAAGGCTACCCGGTCAAGGTTGCGAAGCAACTCCGCGCCACCGCCGTTAAAGCAACATGTCTCTGTTGACGGCGCCATCGCTTGACGAGCGGGCTTACATGCTCCCACGCGGCGGGGACGCATTGCTTCAGCGGGATCGCTGTATTTTTGTAGCTCAAACGATAATTTCTCCGAGAGCCCCCCCTCAGCATTCCCCTCTCATGTGGTTTGTCCAGAAGTACAGACAGTGTGCGCGTGTCTGAGAAAAGACGCACGCCACAGCGATGCAGACCGATGTATGGCCTTTCGGTGACATGGCCTCTCGCGACAGTGAAAAATGCCTTAATGTGCCCGACGCCAGTCAGCGTGAAATGGATCGCCAGCCACGGGTCTGCCGGACACTCGGCGCCTCTTGGCACTCTTCTGTCAGCGTGAAGCGCCGATGTGTGTGCGCGCTTCTCACAGTGACACGCGCGGTCGTTGCATGTCGAAGGAGTCACGCTGGGCGGCGGCGTGTTATCCGGACAGGCCTCTTAAATATTTTAATGGTGCCACTTACAAAAGGAAGTCGCCCAGAGCGTCTCAGCTCTGGTGCCCGGTGCTCCCTCACCACCACGCCTGCCCTGCTGTTGCCATAACGCCCTCCTTTCAAGCACCAGTCATCCTCCATGAAATGGACCACAGAGACAACCTGTCAAGTGCACCGCCGCTGCCGCTGCTTCTTTTTTTTTTTTTTAAACCTTTTCACCCCAGGATGCAAAGAGAAAACTCACAGCTTCTCACACAGCTCGTGACTCATGCGATGTGACAACAAGAAAGTCAAACTGTTTGACCCCCGAATCCCAAGTTAGCCACCTTTGCACCTTCCGTTGAGGTCACCGTTAGGTGAAGCAGTCTGGATGTTCATTCCTTCATGGTGTCACTTTGCCAAATGTTGGAATCCTCCATGCGTAATTTCTGGCAAAGAGGACAACATTTTCCTTGGGGGCTTATTAATAAGTTGACAACACGAGTACGCGGAAAACACGATCCGGACAGCCCGAACATGTTGAAAGATTGTTCTTTGCTGAATTAAGATTGTTGCCAAATGCCCAATCTGGGTCAGATGCGACTTGGATTTGGACTTTGAGTTCAATTGATTGTTGGGCCCTAGTTCTTGCCCCCACGTGTGTTTGCTCCGAAAATAAACAGCTGTACTCTTCCAATCTTTATGTGCTGGGCGCAGGCAGCCGGAGCGCACCTCCTCTCCCTCCGATGCTCGACTGGGCTTCAGCCCCACGGCCGTAGGCTACAGAGAGCGAGGATCCCATGGCGGAAGTCTGCAGTCTTCATGCCTTGTTTGGCATCAGCCACTTTTGCCGCACAATAACTCCATTTGCCCCCAAGATGCATCAGCGTGCGGAGCGAGAGTTCCCTTTACGCGGCGTACGAGCGCTAAAGATGTTGTGTGGCCCCCATCCCCTGGGACCAGCACTTCCGTGTGCGACTTTGCCCTCGGAAAGGCAAATCACGCCACTCAAGTTGAGACGGCTGCAAAGACAATCCACTCTTATTTGAAGTCAGATTTGACCCCGACCATTTTAAGGATGAGAATCCTTAAAATGTCCAAAATTGAGGTCTTGCTTCTACTGAACTATTTTGAGAGCATAAAAACAGTCCAACTCAAAAGCCAGAGAATAACAATGAGTTTTGGGACCAGTTTGAAAGATGGCCAGCGAGGGGGGGGGCTTGCCCAACGTTCATTCCAAAGAGGGGACAAAAGGCTCCATCCCCTCGGAGCCTCCGCGGACCCCCAGGGCCAGTGAAGGGATGCCAGAGTAGGAGTGTCGTGCCCCCTCTTATGAGTCAAGAGGCGTGCGGCAGTATTCGGCACCAACTGGTGACGCTTGATGGAGGATTGGCTAACTCCAAAGTCAAGCGCACGATAGCCATCCGGCCGAGATGCGCCGAATTGATCCGAGGGTCATCTGCAGAGCGTTTTTTTGTTTTGTTTTGTTTTGTTTTTGTCATTGCCTGAGGATCGCACACCTCCCCTGATATTTTGTTTTTATTTTTGCTCTTCCAGGACCTCGACCTCTATTTGCAAGACAAAGTTTGCATGGCCGGCAACCACTTCACCTTAGCGGATGTGCTCATGTACAATGGAATTCACCCACTAATAGTGAGTTGTGTTTTTCCTGTCTGGCTTTGAATGTTTATTCCAGCTTTCGTTTTATGAGCTCCAATAAGTGATGTCGTCATGAACTCGGTGGCCTTTGCAAGAATCCGTTCGCACTGTCACTTCACTGCAAAATGAAGTCGAGGATATCAAAGCCTGGCGGTTTTTAGGATGCAAAGAGGACAGCGTGTGGGGGGGGAATCCCGTAAGGAGATGTCAGTGGGTTTAAGCATGGAGCCAAGGTCGCCCTCCCCACCGGGCACGGCGTCACTTTGGTTTGGACTCGATGTTCCTTTGAACCTCCGGGACATCGAGTCCCGCCACCAGATCTTCAAGCTTGACGCACAACAAGATTTCACAATCATTCGAAGCGACTGCTGGTTCGAGGCGGCAGTGTTGTCAGCTTCCAAATTCCGCTTAATTTGATCTCGAAGAGAATTTTCCAAGGACATTGTGATTTATGGGGCTGCGCTTCATCTGCCGTCGAGTGTGTAAGCTGCTTTCTGCGCCTTCATGACCGCATGTGTCACCTTCGCCAATAACGCCGTGCTTTCATTGCGCTGGCGATAACGACCCAATGTTCCTCTCTCGCCCAGATGGACTTGACTTTCCAGGAGAAGGAGCGGTATATGAACGTGACGCGATGGTTCGACCACATCCAGCACCGCGCCGGGATCCGGCACCACCTCCCCCCAGTCGTCGTGCTCAGGAACAGAATTTACAGCGCTAAACACCCCTGAGGCCCGGGCCGGCCCTGTCGACACCAGGCACAACAAAAGTCTTTTCCCGACGAAAATGGTTCAAAATGAGCGCAGGTCACATCCACATGGGCATTCCTGTTTTAGACTTTTCTTGCCATGAGAGACCTTCTTTTTTTTTGTTTTGTTTAAAGCAACATTAGGACCGAGACGACTGTTGTTGAAGAGGTACTCAAGCTATCTTTGGATGGCTCCAAACTAATAAACTAGGTCACCTCCCTCTTGATTTTTTACTGTTGCTTTGTGTCATTGACCGTTAACGTCCTCTCAGCCCTGCTTCCGCTCTATGAGGGCTTTAACCCGCATCCAGAAACAGTCGAGCGGTTGTTTCATTGGTGTTTGTTTATTTGTTGCAGTTGCAACGTGTTTGTATCATGTTGAGAGCGTATTTAAAATGCTTTTCAAATTTGAAGCTCCGTAAAAGCTACAGCAAGTAACGTGCCTTGGGTGCTGCCACATCGCACGATTGCGGCTTTATCGTTTGCATGTTTGAGACGGCATGCCTGAAAATCACAATAAACACACATGCCAACTTAAGCTGAAAATTCTCAACTCGTGTAGTTCTCGAGCCCTTAAAAACGACCGGCGCCGTATACAAGTCGGTCAAAGTACCAGTCCAGAGGCCAGCAGCAGCTTCCTGGACCGAGCGGAGACGCTTGATTGGAGCATTGGCTGGCTCCAAAGACAAGTGAGAGCATGAGAGTCACCCGGCCGAGATGCGACAAAGGCACAAATGACTGTTGCAAAGTAACGTCGACTCACAGTTCTGGGCTATGGAGTAGGAATCCCGACTTGACTCAAATAAGCAAAGTGAAAAAGAGAGATTTTTTTTCTCCATGCGTTCATTGCGGTGTGTTTCAGGTTTGGAAGCTGACAAAATGCCGGCAGAGATGTTCATGATTCATTCAGTTCTCGGCTTGTTTTGATTTGCATGCATGCATGCTTTTTTTTTTCTTTCAGTGGTCGCATGAATCTCCGATGTTTCGCATGACCGTCTATTGTGTGTGTGATGGCCTCACGGCGCTCGGCCCCGCTCCCTCAGCACCAGTCGCGTGGGCAGCGGTGGCGAGCAGTCGAGCATCAGCCCCAGCGTGGAGAGATGAGACCCAGCCTCCGTTAAGTCCCACTAAGCACCACTGTTGATGCTGCAGGCCAGGCGGAGGGCGGCGAGCTCACCAGCTGCCACATACAGCCGGCCAGCCAGCCGAGGCCCCGGCCCGGGCCGCCCTTGGGCGACAGTCAGCCACAGTGTGTCACTTCAGCCCTCGCGCTACCACGGGGGGCTTCTCGAGAGAGAAGGACCAAGGCGGAAGGCGGGCAGCCACGGAGAGAGGAGGAAAAAGAGCACCCAGAGGCCCAGGGATCTTTTGATGATGTCAACCACGATCCATGTCCCCACAAGGTCTTCCGGAGGGTCTCTACTGATGCCGTGAACAGTCATTCAGGTGAGCGCTTTGTGATTGTTGGCTTGCAAGTGAAATGGAGTAGGGGGAGGGGGGTAATTTTCATGCTAATTAGCGTTTCTCACAAGCGCAGGGGCGATGCTCTCTCGTCATCGCCCCGGCAACAACACATCAGAGGAGCTCATGACCCGCTAGACCCCGAATCGAAATCTGGTGCGCACTTGTGTTTTCTCACCATTTGTTTGACGTAAATCAGCCAGAAGACAAGTGGTGCTGTTTGGGGGGGGGGAAAAAAGTGTATTTGTGCTAAGTGTGACACAAATGTAAAAAGGGGGGAAATGGCTTGAAGTCATCCAGGCGGCCCTTGTGACTCGATGGGGCAATCTGTGGTGCAGGGAGCCATTAAAGACGCCTTTGTCCTGTCGCTCGTGTTAACATTTAGTTGGAATGCCGTGCTCACCGCAAAACTTGCCTCTGGATCTTTTTCAAAAAGAATTGATGTTTCTCATGATGCCACGATTCCTTGTTTCCTCTGTAAATTCAACAATGCGCTGAGCGGAAAAGCAAAAAGTGAATTGCATTTGGATACGGACATTTATTCCCCATTAGGACGGAGCGATTCGCAAAATGCATGGATGGAAAGGCTTGCCGGCTACTTTGAGAATCAAGTGGCACCGGGAAGAACGTTCCAGTTCTCGTGCCATCGTTCAGATTTTCTCATGGCGGTGCGCAACTGAGCTAAGCAGAAGAAGCTGCCAAACACGAAGGCAGAAGGTCTGCCGCTCACTGCCGCACTTTGTCATTCAGGAGGTCGCACGTCCAATACGATAAAACACGTACGCAGAATAGAGTTGATCGCGTGTCCCAGCTTCGACTTTTCTGCGCTTGAGAACCACCAGGCCAAGATGGGGGGTGGGGGGGCAGTGTACACCCTGAACTGGTCGCCGGCCAATCACGGACAAACGGCCGTTCGAGTGTTTTGGGAGTGAGGGAGGAAAGCGACGTACCCGCCAAAAAGCCACGCGGGCACGGGGAGAACATGGGAACCTGGATTCAAACCCCGGACCTCTGTGCTGGTGACATGATTGGAAAATCCCAATAAATCCCACCAATCTTCAGCCATTGAGGCTTGAAGTGCAAACTGTACTCTGGAGCTGTTCCCCAAATGAGCTGGAGCCAACCCTGGCGGGAAGCGTTCCCACGTCATGACGGGTAAACAGAGTCAAGCGCTCCCCACATGTCACCTCCGCATGCTCCGTTCACACCTTTGCCGCCTTGTGTTTTCCAATCACATGAGATTGGAGAACATCCAACGCCCCCGCCCCCTGCCGCTTCCCAACATTTCTTGAAGAGTCACACAAACGCCAGCACCCCTTCCGTTGCCTTGTCATCACCATGAGGCGACGCATCTGCGCCGACGTGTGCAAAGATGAGGGCACCGTCTGCGGCTGACCGATTCAGTGGGACCCTCAACGCCGAGTGCCGGGGAGGCCGGCGTCAGCGTGTCCCAAGCATTTTTGACAGCGCTTATTAACATGCGCTGACACAACGTGACAGTTGTACCGTGCGCCCGTAAAGATGCCATCTGATTGTCGATTGTAATTACGCGAGCGCGCCAGCAAGGCTGCGGAGGACGACATTGAAGGCGGCTGGGGGAGGACCCGCCTTGAGTTGAGGAGGCTCGGCCACTCAACTTCTTCTTCTTCTTCTTCTTCTTCTCACTTTAGATGCCAAAAATGTGTTTTCCGTTGAAGATACCCCCTCCCCCTCCTGGTGTTTGGGAAATAGAGAATAAATATGGAAAATGTGTTTTTTTTTGTCTGTCACAAGAACCCAGTTAACTTTGAAATCTTTCTTGGATCAAGAAAAGTTGTCCTTGCCTCCACTCTCTGTGCCTCGCACGTGGGTTACGTAAGCTCCCCAGGTGTGCGACCAAGCCGCAGTAGCTAATGCACATTCTCAGATCGTCAATCGGGCAAGATGGCACGTCAGGTGCTGAGGTACATATGTGGGACCTGCGGCAAGGAGGCGGCACAACCTCCAGTGTGTGAATCTTCTTGAATTTGCCGCCTCGATTGTTCCCTTCTGTTCATCTACCTCAGCTGCTCCTTTTGAATATGCGTGTGGTGTTTGTGTGTGTGTGTGTTGGGGGGGCGGTAGAGTGAGGCTAATAAGACGCATATACATATATAAAGGGTGTCCCCAAATGTAATTATCTCAATGCTTCTACTTTTTTCCTTGCATCAAAAAGGAATTTTTCCTTCAGAAAAGGGAAAACGCAGATTTCAACTGTGAACAATACGACTTGTCGTATCGTGAAGTTCCACTCAAAATCAAGTTGAATTTTTCATCATTTTTTTTTTTCCTCATCAGTCACAAGTCTTAAGAATGGCGACTTGAGTCAAGTCATGTGACTTGTCTCGTGACTTGAATCAGTCATTTCTGCTCAGCGGCCTGGAATTCAACTTTGCAGGTTTGCTGAGTTGTATCATGAGCGGGGAGGTGGTTAAATTCCTCACCGGTGGCTTCATGGAAATTAAGGAGAGTTGCATTGACTTGAGTGGGACTTATCATTGACCAGAACTCCCAATCCTCATCCCTTTTCTTCAAATGCCCCTCAAATTAGCCATACATTTCGAAGTCCGCTGCCTCATCGGTGCCACCCAAGCCCCCCCCCCCCCCCCCCCCCCCCCCCCCCGCCCCTACAACCCCCGACGTCTGCTCCATTCAACCCCACAGGTCACGTCACTTAACTTCAGCCTGTCCCCCTCCGCTAATCGCTTGTGATAGGACGCCTGCAGGGAAGTTGACTTCTCACTGAGAAGTGATACGAAAGGTAATTGCGAGTGAAACCTGGCTCGGGTTTGGGCTGGGGTGCATTTCAAATAGGCATACAAGTACTATTTTGGGGGGGAGGCAGATCACGGGTAGGCAGAGAGCACCGCCCTCAGCGATTTCCTGTAATGTGACCACCATGGGAAGAGGGAAAAAAAAAGCAGCAACAGTCTTCTTATTTACATAATTCTCATCTGCATACGTCACTGGAGCCCGTGAATGTTTATGCCGTGTCTTTTGTTATTAGAACAGATTGGCTTGAAATTCCAGGCGACTAATTTATTTCCACCTGCAGTGAAATGAGCTGCCGCCTTTCTCTCTTGCCGTGTGCCTCATTGGCCTAATGAATGAATCAAAGGCGGGGGGGCTGGTGACAGCTTCTGAGAACATCAAGGCTTTTGTTTTGATGAACTTGGAGGAGAAGGAGTTAAGTGGAAAGGCCCGTCTTGCAGTTCGTTTGAATGAGCCTCCGATGCTTGGAGGGGTCCCTCTGCAGAAAAAGTGAAAGCTGTGCTTCACCCTTAACGAACAAACGCATCCCCTTGGGCAATGATGAGTCCAGATCAAGAAAACAGTTCTGCATCCTTAAGATAACTGTCAGCACTCTTGTTCCATTTCCTTTTACAGGCTCTGTGCACTCTTGTGGAAAGCCCCTCGTACGGCATCACTTCCAACCAACCGGCACACAGGAAAGCTTGATTTAGCCCATTGTGTTTTCTTTTGTGGAGGGGGTCATTGTTACCTGGAGTCCAACATTTCCATTTTGCTTTGGTTTTTGCCCTGCTGAGCCTTTTTTTTTTGCCTTGAGACCAGGGGCGCACGACCTTTTGGGAGCGAAGATCGACTTTTCAAGCAAGCAACCGGATCCCACAAAATCTTCGGACATCCCAAAGGGCCCAACAATGAACTGAATGAAATGACCCACAGCACAAATGCGTGGTCATTTGCCGAGGGCGTCGGCCTTCCAAAGTCAGCGGCAATAGA